GACCCACTGCACTGTAGGGTCTGACAATGGGTCCAAGGATTTCATCCCGATACCTAATGGCAGTCAGGGTGCCATTGTCTAGCCTGTAGAGGTCTGTGTGTCCTCCATGGAGATGCCTCCCCAGACCATCACTGACCCACCACCACAACGGTCATGCTGAACCATGTTACAGGCAGCAGAATGTTCTCCACGGCTCCTCCAGACCCTTTCATGTCTGTCACATGTGCTCAGGGGGAACCTGCTCTCATCTGTGAAAAGCACAGGGTGCCAGGGGGGGACCTGCCAATTCTGGTGTTCAATGGCCAACGCCAATCCAGCTCTATGGTGCCGGGCAGTGAGCACAGGGCCCACTAGAGGACGTCGGGCCCTCAGGCCACCCTCATGAAGTCTGTTTCTGATTGTTTGGTCAGAGACATTCACACCAGTGGCCTGCTGGGGGTCATTTTGTAGGGGTCTGGCAGGGCTCATCCTGTTCCTCCTTGCACAAAGGAGCAGATACCGGTCCTGCTGATGGGTTAAGGACCTTCTACAGCCCTGTCCAGCCCTCCTAGATTAACTGCCTGTCTCCTGGAATCTCCTCCATGCTCTTGTCTCCTGGAATCTCTTCCATGATCCTAAGACTGTGCTGGGAGACCTGGCATATAGTGCTGCACTGTGTTTTATTATAATGATATTATATTCCTCCCACTGACACCAATGATGGGACACTATTCCTCCCACTGACACCAATGATGGGACACTATTCCTCCCACTGACACCAATGATTGGGGCACTATTCCTCCCACTGACACCAATGATTGGGCACTATTCCTCCCACTGACACCAATGATGGGGCACTATTCCTCCCACTGACACCAATGATGGGGCACTATTCCGCCCACTGACACCAATGATGGGGTACTTTCATTTCGGTGCACCACTAGCTAGAATTGCTGCTGTAGGGTTGGGGTTTTCTAGTCCCTAGATATTTTGAGTCGGGTGGCCATGAAAATATGGAGGACCAACGCCCATTCTATGAGTAGAAAGGTCAGGAATTGGTACGTTGAGCAATGCTTGGTAGGGGGCACTCCATGGCTATCGTCTTCAAGATATGTCGTTATCAATTCTGTGATCGAACAATGTGTTCCCGAGGCATTAGTATTTGTAGTTCACCAAAATTACATCCTTCCGTGTCCTTACTTTGCGTTTTCTCTCACGTCGTCTTTGGAGAACCCAATGCGAATTTCGGCCCCGTTGAGTCTGTGGCCACAACATTCTTTTCGGTTGGTGATGGCGATGGAGAAGATCCTCATCCTGGAGTTCAGATCCAGATTCCACCAAGGCTCGAGGTCATATTGCGTGTGGCTGCAGTGCGGATGATTATTTGACAGCGAGCCATCAATGGCCTTTTTGGCTTGTGCACGCTCGTGATCACTGGATTGGGTGGCTGTTCCTTTTGGGGCCACATTGGGAGCTGGAAAATGTATCAAAAGCAGTCTCAATGATCTTTCATTCTTACAACATGATCACAGGTAACAAGTAATACCCTCCCATCTTGCATTTTGCTTATTTTTACCCCCCCCCCCGCCACCTGTTATGTAGCATGGTCCTCAATTCACGTACCCATCTACCCAGCGGATCCAGTGGTGTCACATTGTGACGTCACAGACCAGGTCCCCCTCTGCCATTAAATCCCATGTGTGATAAAATTTTGTTACGACGGGTTCTCTTTAATGAGACATCGGGGGGGGTTACACTCCTGATGTCTCACCTGACTTCCATGGAAGCTAACTGAGTATTGAACAGAGCCAGACAAAGTTCTGGGTCTGCCAATGGAAGTCCACCAATGGGTGTGCAAACCCAAGGACATTCATTGGTCTCCTTCCCCTCCACCTGGCGGCACCCCCCTCCCCCAATCCTAGTTCTGTGTCTGCCAATTGAAGTCCACCAATGGGTGTGCAAACCCAAGGACATTCATTGGCCTCCCTCCAATCTACCTGGTGCCCCCCCCATCTAATCCTAATTCTGGGTCTGCCAATGGAAGTCCACCAATGGGTGTGCAAACCCAAGGACATTCATTGGTCTCCCTCCCCTCTACCTGGCGGCATCCCCCCCCCAATCCTAGTTCTGTTTCTGCCAATGGAAGCCCACCAATGGGTGTGCAAACCCAAGGACATTCATTGGTCTCCCTCACCCTCTACCAAGCAGCATCCCCCCCCCCAATCCTAGTTCTGTGTCTGCCAATGGAAGTCACCCAATGGGTGTGCAAACCCAAGGACATTCATTGGTCTCCTTCTCCTCTACCTAGCAGCACCCCCCCCCCCCCAATCCTAGTTCTGGGTCTGCCAATGGAAGCCACCAATGGGTGTGCAAACCCAAGGACATTCATTGGTCTCCCTCCCCTCTACCTGGTGGCACCCCCCCCCAATCCTAGTTCTGGGTCTGCCAATGGAAGTCCACCAATGGGTGTGCAAACCCAAGGAATTCATGCATGTTCTGGGGGTGCCAATGGAGGCCCACCAATGGGTGTGCAATGGACATTATTAATCTCCCCGCTCCCCTCTACCTGGTGGCATGGAGGGTGTGCATTGGGTGGCACTGAATGGCCATGGCCAGTCATATGCCATCATCATCAGTCACAGCAAGATTGCTGGCGCTCTGTGAAAATGACATGGATACACTTAAATAATTACAGAATAAAACACCACGCTATCCTCACACATAATCTTCAACCTTGAGCTTTCTTTCACAAATGAGCGCAATGCGAATCTAACATCGACATTCAGTCACATGACAAGGAAGTCACTGCTGGAGGACTTCCCACTGGTAGGCATTGGGGTTCAGGTAGCTATACATTGCCCAGTAAATGTCACTGACTGTGGGCTCAGGCCCAGTGTATATTACGTGTCTTTGCCCATGGGGCACATGCTTCCCGCCCAGTCCTCCCCTGACCATCTCGTGTTTCCACGTTGCGATAATATGCTTGGTCAGAATAGGGGATCATATCGGGGGGTGCTGCTTTGGCCATCACACTGGATGCATGTCTACTGGCTCCTTCAATGGAAATCTAACCGAGATAAAAGGTATTGCCAAAAGGAACATTTATTTCAGGAAGAAGGTTGAGATGGGCTCCACCAAAGGAGGAACTGATCTCTGTACACCACCTTGATACCACGCTCAACCTGTATACACACTTACCTCCATGGTGCTGGCTCTGCCACATCTGACTTATGTTCCAACTTTCATCAACTAGAAGGATTGAAGAACAAAGTTTACATTTTCCATCAGATTCGATCAGATTCTACATCAGTACATACAGTGAGAGAGTGATGGATTCCAAATGCTGAAATGGCGATCTGTTACACACGAAGAGATAAAAAGAGACTCCAAAATGGAACCTGACTTCTAAACCGCAACCGAACCAAGACCAGACCAGGGGCGGACTGACAACTCATGGAGCCCCCGGGCAATAGGGGATCATGGGGCCCCTGTGTCCTTGCCCAAACTCAAAAAAGCCTATGAAAAAGGTACCAGGGGCATTTCATGGGGCCCCCTGCTGACCCCGGGCCCTCGGGCAGTGCCCAAGTTTCCAAATGGTCAGTCCGCCCCTGGACCAGACCCTTAACCTCAACCTTACTGGTAACCCTAATACTCTAAACTGGGGGGTTGGCAAGTTGCCGATCACCATCTACCAGCCATCCGCAGGCAGCCAACAGGTAGATCATGAACATTGCTCTGCTTCCCCCCAGCCTCCTCTACTCTCATGTTCACTGCAGAGAGGAGAGCAGGAGACAGCATAGTGCTGGATGGAGGGCCAGGGGTGGGAGCTGCCTCAGTTACCCTTTCGAGTTAACCAGCAGAGATTTGTTGCTAGGACACCAGGTGGTCCTAGCAACCAATTACCAGCTTGTTATCAAAAGTTAAATCCAGCAGCTCCCGCCCTCCATCCAACACTATGCTGTCTCTGCTGTACACACGCTATCAGGTAGGAGACAGCTACCTACACAGCGCTGTGTGTGTGTTGGGGGGGGGGTGATTTAAGGGGACACTATAGTTGGGGGGGGGGGGCTGTGATGTGAAAGTGACAGAGGACACTGCTTTGGGGGGTGGGAGGTAGAAGGCAATGCTTTCAAGGACAATGCTTTCAGGGGGCAGAGGACACTTTCGTGGGGGGGCACAGGACACTGTACTATGGGGGGCAGAGGACACTACAGAGGGGGGGTGGTAAAGGGGGGGGACATGTGGTGGGGTGAAGGGTGGCAGAGGACACACTGTTTTTGGGGTACAGAACACTATTGGGTGGCATAGGACACTACATGGGGGGGGTTGAATGTGACAGGGGACATAGGACACTACAGTGGTGGGGTGATGTGAAGGGTGGAAGAGGACACTGTTTTTGGGGGTCCAGAACACTATTGGGTGGGGAACAGAGACATACAGAGGGGGGTTGATGTGACAGGGGGGTAGGACACTACAGTGGTGGGGTGATGTGAAGGGTGGCAGAGGACACTGCTTTTGGGGGGGGGGGTCAAGGACACTACATGGGGGGGAATGTGACAGAGGACATGCACTATGGTGGGGGGTGAAGGGGGGCACTGGACACTGTTTTGGGGGAACACTATTGGGTGGGCAGAGGACACTACATGGGGGGAATGTGACAGAGGACATAGGAAAGTGTGGGGGGTGATGTGAAGGGGGCAGAGGACACTGTTTTTGGGGTCCAGAACACTATTGGGGGGCAGAAAAACATGAGGGGGTGGTGAAGGGGGGCAAGGACACTGCTTTGAGGGAGGGTGGTCAGAGGACACTACTGTGGGGTATTGGGGGGGGGTACAGGACACTACTGTGGGGGGGGGGAGGGCAGAGGGACACTGCTATGGGTGGCAGAGGACACTAAAGTGTGATGAGGGGGGCTGATGTGAAAGGGGCAAAAGGACACTGCGTTTGGGGGGGGGTAAAGGACACCACTGCTGTGGAGGGGAGGGGCAGAGGATACTTCTATTGGAGGGGGGTACATAACACTACTGTGGGGGGAGGGGGGCAGAGGACACTGCTATTGTTGGGGGGTACAGGACACTGCTGGGGGGGGGAGGGGCAGAGGACACTGCTATGCTAGCAGAGGACACTAAAGTGTGGGAGGGGTGATGTGAAGGGGCAAATGACACTGCGTTGGGGGGGTAAAGGACACTACTGTGGGGGTAGGGGGTTCGGAAGACACAGTGGGAGGGTGATGTGAAGAAGGCAGAGAGACACTAGTTAACAGTCCAGCGGATCACTAGCAGCGCGTACCTGTGCACGGGGGGGTGTATTTAGGTTTTGTGCTGCCCTAGGCAACTCAAAAATAGTGCAGCCCACGCCCCTACAAATGGCGCCCAAGTCGAACTCCTTGTCGACCTCGCGGTAGGTACGCCTCTGCCTGTGCACACTGTTAGTTCTGTTAACATGCTGTCAATAGCTGCTGCAAACTAACTTTCTACCAGAACACCGGAGGTTTTATGAAGAAAAAAAAAGTTTTCTTTAATTTGAACCTTGGGAATTTTTTAAAACCAATTAAGCCCCAAAAGGTCATCTTCAGGTCCCAGTACCCGCCAAACTGCTAATCAGCCAATCACATGGCAGCAACTCAATGCATTTAGGAATCATATGGAATCATTTGTAATAGAAAGTATGAGAACTCCCATGTGATTGGTCACACAGCAACAAATCCGGGAACTCAAAGTGAGGGTCTCACTAATAGGGTCTCAGAGGTTGGAGAAGCCTTCCAGGTTTTTTTCTGGTCGATGGAACCATTAAAGCCTTGCATTGCATTTACATGATTGGGAGCCATAAACATGCACTCCTCGGCCACTTTTATGAGGTCCGCCTGTTCAATGGCTTGGTGACACAAACTGCTAATCAGCCAATCACACGGCAGCAGCTCGATGCATTTAGGCATCTAGACGTGGTGAAGACGACTTGCTGAAGTTCACACCAAGCACCAGAATGGGGAAGAAAGGGGATTTAAGTGACTTTGACCGTGACATGGTTGTTGGTTCCAGACGGGCTGGTCTGAGGATTTCAGAAACTGCTGATCTCCTTGGATTTTCATGTACAACCATGTCTAGGGTTTACAGAGAATGGTCAGAAAAAGAGAAAATATCTAGTGAGTGGCAGTTGTGTGGAGGAAAATACCTTGTTGATGGCAGAGGTCAGAGGAGAATGGGCAGACTGGTTCCAGATGATAGAAAGGCAACAGTAACTTCAATAACCCCTCGTTACACCCAGGGGTGTATTTGCCACAAGGAACTTGCCTAAGGCGGCATTTTTCAGGTTGGGCAGCACTGCCCCTTGGAAGAATGGATGGAAGAAGGGAAACATGTGGCATGGGGACCTGGTGGGTTCCGAGAGATGCTGCGGGTTCCATGATATTGTATGCACAGCCCGACTCTCGTTCCTGGGGATGTCCAGGGCTGTGAAGGTGAGTGTCTTTCTCTCTCTCTCGCCATGGGGGTTGGTGGCTGGTGTATGGGGGGCAGTAGTAGTGGAAGGTTCGGGGGAGTGCAGGGGTGCTCTTGGTCTATGTCAGGTTCTTTCTGCGGGGGGGGGGCACCAATTTTTGTGTTGCCTAGGGCAGCACAAAACCTAAATACACCACTGGTTGCACCCAAGGTATGCAGAATCCCATCTCTGAACACACAACATGTCCAACCTTGAAGCAGATGGGCACATGTGGGGGTTGATGTCACAAAGCATTATGGGATACACAGTGCTAGTCCCTGCCAATAAGCGGTCCTGAAACACCCCCGGACTGATTAGTGGTCTTGATATCACACACCATATATTAGTCTGGGAGCAGTTAACAGCTTTGTGGGCTCTGAGGAAGAGATAATTCCTCAAAACACGTCAACCCGTTGAGACTCCTTCGTTCTGTTACTCTATGATGTATTGCGGACTGAACGGGTTTCCATGCGATGAGCTTGTACTTGTAGATGATATTGTGAGTATAATACATTTTTTTACACAATAAAGCCATACTTTGTTATTGACGTATCTCTAGACTTCTCCAATCTTGTGAGGGCAGCAAGGCGAGTGCATCCCATGAGAGCCAAGATATGATGGACCTTTTCCAGGCCCCAAATGCATTTTCTCCCATTTTAATACCTTTGTCAGCTTGTAATAAAATAAGACATTATATAAACGATTTACTAATCTACAGAATATCACTGTGACAGGAGCAGGGGTGGACTGACAACTCATGGGGCCCCCGGGCAATAGGGGATCATGGGGCCCCTGTGTCCTTGCCCACACTCAAAGCACACCCAAAAAAAGCCTATAAAAAGGTACCAGGGGCATTTCATGGGGCCCACTGCTGACACCATGGGCCTTGGGCAGTGCCCGAGTGCTCGAATGGTCAGGCCGCCCCTGGATGAGAATCACTTTGAGTGGGGGGCCCATGGAACACAGCTCACTTTAGAGAGGTAGGGAGACCCCTGTCTCAACTCCCCATATCCCTCTTATGTGTAAGTCACCCTGTGTCTGTTAGGGGTACAGGGTGATCTGTCCTAAGAGTGGGGTGGGGGGGTTGTGGATTGTTTAATGTCATGTGGCTGCATCCCGTTGTTCTATTGTTTGTCTTGCTTGGGAGCAGGGGCGGACTGACCATTCTGGTACTCGGGCACTGCCCGAGGGCATGGGGTCAGTAGGGGGCCCCATGAGATGCCCCTGGTACCTTCCATAAGCTTTTTTAAGTGTGCTTTGAGTGTGGGTGAGGACACAGGGGTCCCATGATCCCCTATTGCCGGGGGGCCCTATGAGTTGTTAGTCCGCCCCTGCTTGGGAGCAAACAATTATGGGATGTATGTGTTTATGTGTATTAGTTTAGTGGAGGGTGTCTCCAGCAGCCCTCCCTCCTGATGGGACTGTCTGCTGGTGTGACGTTTGAATACCTGTGTGTCTCTTGTTACTAAATGTAGATTGCCCCGCCCTGTGTCATTATGCAGGGAGGGGGGACTGTCCCCTGAGTGTATATATCTTGTATCTGTGTCATTATGCAGGGAGGGGGGACTGTCCCCTGTATATATCTTGAGTGTGTTATATCTTGTATCTGTGTTCAAATATAGAGTTCCATGTTCAGACAGACTGGTGTCGTCTAGTCTTGTATGGTCGGCTGTGGTGTCGGTGGTCGGTGTTCGGACAGGGAAGCGGTATTCTAACGGAAGTACTCAAGCGCAGTCTGGGGTCGGTTCCATTACAATCATCAAGATCAACATTACATTTTTTTTTTGGGGGGGGGGATTTACTAAAACTGGAGCACACAGAATCTGGAGCCAATCAGCTTCCAGGTTTTATTGTCAAAGCGTAATTAAACCAGCCGATGTTAAAAGCTGATTGGCTCCCATGCACAGCTGCACCTGATTCTGTGTGCACTGGTTTTAGTAAATCTCCCTCTTTGTGTTGACAAGTATTCGGAAATCTCTTCTTACCTGACTGATTTTTGGGCTGTCCAAACACCTGGACTTCACACAAGGTCAGAGATACGTTCTTTCCCCGTATTGCGATGGTGACAAACTGTCCCTCCATTCCATGGCAGGTAAAGGAGTAGGTTTCTCCGAGACCGATTGACGACACAACGCCACAGCTGTAAAAAATATCAAACCTAAATTGTATCTGTAGCCAAGACATTTTATATTTTTGATAGAGCAAGGAAAGGATTAGAACCCCTGTCTGGTTTCTATTGACTCCCTGCTGGGTAGAGTCACTCTCCCTTCCCGACAAGAAACAAAAAATAAACTGGCAGGTATTCTAGCCCCTTCCCAACTCTGCTCATAGCTGATATATAAACTTTCTCTTGATGTCCCCTGATACCATGGACTGAGCTTGAAGGGCCACAGGGGTCACAATGGCGACCTTACCCATGCTCCAGGGAGCCCCTGCGGCCTCCCTGTCACTTTAGGTTTTACACTCAGGGCTGTGGATAAGGGGGTACCACCAGTTCTCCTGTACGGGGTCCAGGCCAGCGGGGGAACCCAGGCAACTGGGTGAATCAGATGTGGGCAGAGAGGGTGACGTCTTCTCCTCTCCCTTCTGCTGGCTTTCAGCTGCTGCAGAGAGAGCCATACAGGGGATCGGTTCCAGTAATTGCCCCATTGCACCCATCACCCTCCCTGTGCACCATATGTTTCCCCCTGCTGCCCAAGCCCCCTCACTCTCGTAGTGCTGCCAGCTTCCCTCCTCTCCTTCCCAACGGCATCTGCAAGCACACGATGGGATCCTTCAGGATGGAGAGTGGGGGAAGGTTCCAGAAAATATGTCACATTTACCAGTTCTTCCTTTCCTAAATGAACACAATGAGTGATCAATACCAATCACTCACTCACTGTGTTCATTCATAACTGAAGCATAGGAAACCTTTTTTTTTTTTTTTTGGTGGAAGGGCCCTGTCAAGTTTGCTGTATGGGGCCCCATGGTTTCTAACAGCAGCCCTGTTTCAGATGTTTTCCCGGCCATTATCTCCAGGATCTGAAATCTCTGAAACTGGAAATGCTCAGAGATTAGATCTTCCAGGCCGATTGCCCCTAAGGAAGATGGAGAAATGAATGTTTCTCATCTTCCCTCTGCTTACTATCCTAATGGAACCCAGGTGAGCCCAGCACACATGGGGTAGGAGAGGGTCAGACAGGAGGGGGCTGCACACCATCTCTAAGTTGGTGCTATATACTAGCAGATTTTCAAACAAATGTTCCTACAAAAATCAATACAAGAATTCGTACGAAAATTCTCTGAACCTTCGATGACTTGATTAATGACATTCAAAGGGTCTTCCAAATTTTATCTGGTTTTAACACTCCATTTTGGAACAAAAGTCAGGACCTGGACTGAGCCAAGCTAAAAGGGAAGGCCAACATGACTGGGGCGTGCAGACGAGGCGGAGGGTGTATTCGGGTGGGAGTATATGCGGGAGGTAAGGGGGTGGTTACTTACCTGATTGGAGTACGCAAGCTTGGGTGGTGGTCTTGCCAGGATTAGGAGGGGGGTTGGGTCTTGTCAGAGGTCAGTCGGAGCTTGTGCCAGCACAGGGGTGGTTTCTCCCGCCCTCCCTCCCTGTAGCTGTTTCGTTGTTTTCTTTTGCTGTTTGGTTCTAGTCAGGGGCGGACTGACCATTTGGAAACTCGGGCACTGCCCGAGGGCCCGGGGTCAGTAGGGGGCCCCATGAGACGCCCCTGGTACCTTTTTCATAGGCTTTTTTGAGTTTGGGCAAGAACACAGGGGCCCCATGATCCCCTATTGCCCGGGGGCCCCATGAGTTGTCAGTCCGCCCCTGGTTCTGGTTTGTTCTTTGTGTTTGTCCTGTTGTTTGTTTTGTGAGGGTTCATTGATTTTGTTTCTTGTCCTGAAGGGCATTTTGTGTCCCGAGGTGTTTGTCTGTTTGTTTTGTCATGGCAGCCGGTAGGGGTCGATGGGTCTTTGAAGGCGGTGCTGGAGTGACAATTTGGTGGATTATGGGTTGGGCCCATCGTAGGTATGGGTGTTCCTTCCCAATTATAAGGTCACGTTGGTAATGTGGGAGGTCATTGGCTGTATCTGGGACTACGTAACTGTAGCATTGTCCCCGAGGCGGTGTAGTGGTGGCTGGGGGCCTTTTTATTGGGTGCCAGATACAGCCGAGTTTTGATGTGAGTAACGGTGCCTTCGAAGACCTTGGACCCGGTTGGGATCATTACTGTCAGTTATTATTTGAGTGTACTGTAAGAAGTGTTATGTTAGAGTTTTACACCAAAAAGAGAGTCATGTGGTCATTTAGGTGGGGGGAGGTTGAAGGGTGGTGGTGGTTTTATGGATTAGGCGGTAAGTATTAGCCTCCATATTCTGCATGTCCATCAGTCATGGACTTTCCCAGCCAAAAGCAGCATACCCTGTTAGAAATTAGTCTGTTAAAGAACATTTTTCCATCCTGCTCCTTCATATTTTCTTGTCACCTCGGTCAAAAATGAATGTTGATTCGACTCCATTAGAAAATTGAATGAACGTTCTCGAAATGAACAATTGCTAAGTATAGTCTACTAGTCTGTGGGCCTTACTTCTGTTTGACAGCCTAAAGCCGGCTAAGCAAGTTCACTTCATTCCAGCTACGGGGTTGTTCACATCCCAGTATTGCCACCGTTAGTGATGGGCTTCATGTTCGAGTCGAATGTAAGTTCAAATCAAACATGGGCCGTTCGTGTTTTCTCTGAGCGCTTTTCGGAGGGCTGTTCGCACGCCGTGCCCCACAATGCACTGCGCCCTGACAGTGCATTGTGATTGGCCAAAGTAATTCAATGGTTTGGCCAATCACAGCGCATGATGATGCCACAAGGGGGCGGGGTCACCCAGTTGATGTCACCACAGTATTTAAGAACTGTCATTCTGCCGCAGCTGTCAGACGGCCGGGAGCCAGCATCGACAGCAGAGTTTTTTTCTTTTCTTTTTTCGGGTGGCGGAGGGCATCATGATTGACGTTGGATCTACTTCAGGGGACATTTTTTAACTTTTTGTTTTTAATAAAGGACTTGTCACAGACTGTCTCCTATCATTTTTACTACACTTTTTTTTCTGATTGATTAGCGGTACCATGCACCCATACTCGTTCACATGGCGAGGGCAGGATCTGGGGGCTCCCTTGTTAAAGGGGGCTTCCAGATTCTGATAATCCCCCCCACCCGCAGACCCCCACAACCAGCGGCCAGGGTTGGGGGGAAGAGGTCCTTGTCCCCATCAACATGGGGACAAGGTGCTTTGAGGGGGAGCCCCATGCCCAAAAGCACCCCCCCATGTTGAGGGCATGTGGCCTGGTATGGTTTTGGGGGGGGTACTTGCTTGTTCCCCTCCCCTTTCCTGACCTGCTGGGCTGCATGCTCAGATAGGCCCTGGTATGGATTTTGGGGGGGACCCTGGGATTTTAGTGCTGGTATTTTCTCATGCTTGGTCTTCTTGTGATGCCCATGTAGCACTACCCTTGTAAGGGCAGCTGGATTTGTTTTGGGTCCCCCTATGCCCTGCACAGCCAGGCAGCACACATTCTCCACACGTGTACCTTCAAAGTCAGTAAACAGTCCTTGAGCTGGTTTTAGTTGTTTTTATTAAGGGGTTAACAACTTGGATGGGGTCTTGGAGTATATGGGATGCCCAAGGAATTGTACAAATTGAAGATGATCTTCTTAGCAACTACGTAAAAAAATGTGGACTAGAGGGAAAAAAATATAGCACTGTCTCTTTTTCTTTTTGGTTTACCTCCTCAGATCCCAGATGAATCCTCCTCCTCACCCAGCTGTGCTGAGGGTATCCCTGAGCAAGGGGGTCCCAAGAGCTTGCAGTTAAGCAGTGCAAGATGAAGACTAGTATTGCACCTGACCACACTCTCCCCTTATTTGGCCCAGGAGGTGTAGAATTACCCACACTGTCCTCGCCTGCTAGTGTTGTGGGTTGGTGGCTGCCTTCAGGCCTTATGCTGGCTTGGCTCCTTCCCTGCTAACAGGTTGTCCTCAGGAGACGTTGAAGCAGTTGAAATCTTCCAGTCCAGCAACCAGCCTGTAGGTAGGGCCCCCTCCCAGGTTCCACAATCCAGCCTTCTTCTCAGTCTATCTTCTAGCCAACTCCCCTGCTCCCCAGCCTTCTTCTCAGTTTATCTTCCACCCAACTCCCCTGCTCCCCAGGCTCTGGGATATTTGAAGGTTTCCCTGGTCACTATGCCTAACCTCCTACCAGGGGATTGGTCAAGGTCCCTCAAACATGCAGATCTTGGCCTCCTCCCCTTCTTCTCCCCTGTTCCACATGGTTCATCAGTTTCTGGAAGAATGGGAGGGATCCAGAAACCCTGACCTGTAGAACCTCCCAGCCTGTCCTGAGGTTAACTCCCTCGCTCCCAGGCTGACTAGAATGGAGTGCCTTAAAACTGTCCATGATTTTAAAGGGTCTCTTGACTGAAAAAAGGTTGAGAAACACTGGCCTAGATAAACATGTCACAAATTCTGTGTAACCAATGTTTTTTTTTTTTTTCCCAACATGGGGTGTGTGCTGCAGTTAGATATCAGCTTGTGGGGTGGTGCAGCATGCTTTGGGTGGCAGTAAACACTCAGAGTCCAGTTGCAAGAAACAGAACTTGTTAAATGTTAATGTTCGCAATTCACAGTAAGCCTGGTGGGAACATACCCCAATAGGGTAGAACAGTCACAGGATATAACAGTGACCAGGTCTTGGATGTGCCAGCAGCATCTGTTTTGTGGGCCAGTCTGTACCCAAATGGGGGGACTTCCAGGAAGGATGGCTTTGCCCTATCCTTTCCCTACTCATCTAGAACCTCTCCCTTCTGCTATTCACTGTCCCTGACAGACGGGTGACCTGTTCCTACACTACCCACACATTAAAAACAAGCCAATACGGGGGACCAGGATCTTAAATAGACTCTGCCTGATCCAAGATGGCCACCAGAGTCACATGGGGTGGCAGCATTCAACCGGTTAGCTTCCTCAGTGACCCAGGAAACCATAGAGGAACCATGTTCCTCTTGACTTCCTGTCCCTCTGCAAAGCCACTGCGGTTGAGTGTCACCTGCAGTGCAGAAGGTGGACTGCACCAGCCTACAGGCTGACTCAGGAAGAAAGCAGAATGGTTTGTAAATGCAAAGAGAACCATAGATTCACAACACTTGCAAAGCTCAGTCTATTGAAAGCCACAGTTATTCAGTAATTATACCACAGACAAAGCTATATCATCGACGTACCTGGGGTTCTCCCTCCAGTCTGCGATGTTTCCTATTCGAATTTCAGCTCCGCTCAGGTCCTCGGCACAGCAGTCTCTCCTGTTTGTAATGGCCACAGAGAAGATAACGTGGTTTGATCCTAGATCTAGATTCCACCAGGGCCTATATTCCATTTCCGTTGAAGCACATTGGGAAGAAAGCTGGCCATCGATTGCATATCTGGAAGCTGCTCTCTGTTTAGTGCTGGACTGAGATGTTTTTCCTTTGGAAGCCACATTGTGTGCTAAAATATAATATTAAAATTCAAGATATAACAACAAGCCTTGAAACGTCACCATCTGCTGATTGTTACTGACACCCAGGTCTCTGCAGTGCACACCTGGTCTAATCAAGAAAGCATTATTGCAGACTGCTGGACCTCCAGCCAATGCCTGATCAACAGGTTACTGTCAGGGCTCTGTCCTCGGCAGAGGTGTTAGGAGACCTGGCACCCCTGCCAGTACCTTGCATGGCCGCAGAAGTTCAAATCGGCTCAAATTTGGTGCCAAACGGTCTTTATAAGGAAGCCCTGCACTACTCTCAGGTGCTGGTTGATCTCTGGCTCCTTAGTACCTTTGTTCCCTTGCTATCCTGACTTGTGATTTCCTGTTAATGACTCGGCTTGCTCCTGGACCTGTCTGCTTTCTTTAACCCCGACCCCGGCTTGTCTAACGGATCTTCTCTCCTGATCTCTGTGTATGACCTCGGCTATCCCTCTTGACTACGTCTGCTCCGATCCCCACCTGGCACCCGACTTTGGCTCGAACTGGTTATCCTGTGATCCTCTATTCTCTGGAAGACCTGCATACCATGCACAGGCGCTCCCTGCCTGCAGACCCATCTCAGCGCATCAGCCGTACTCCTGGGTGGACCACCAAACAAGCACTCCCATAGGTGACCTGTGCTACTCCGGGCCTGTCTCCTGCTGTCCCACCTTCAGGGGAGTCTGGAACATAGCCGCAAGGGAAGCCCTCTCTCCATTGGCCTCTGTCACCAGGTACGTGATAGTTACCATGGCTTCTGGTGTCCTGGATTCAGCTCAGTGTGATTTATGTCTGTGGATGTCCAGGATTATTCCTGCAAATGTTTGGACTCTACACTCAGCTTGTCTTATCTTTTCCTCATCAACCTGTTATCAGCAATTGTCCGTCATTTCTCTGTTTACCTGTCTGGTACCTGGACTCTGTTGGATTAGACTTTCTGGGATTGATCTGACTAGCGGTGTGTTTATTTATTGTGCTGCCCAGGGGTGGACTGACGACTCATGGGGCCCCCCGGGCAATAGGGGATCATGGGGCCCCTGTGTCCTTGGCCAAACTCAAAAAAGCCTATGAAAAAGGTACCAGAGGCATCTCATGGGACCCCCTACTGACCCCGGGCCCTCGGGCACTGCCCGAGTTTCCAAATGGTCAGTCCGCCCCTGATGCTGCCCTAGGCAACACTATAATCGGGCACCCCCACAACCTCCCTCTCCCCGGGAACCATAGTCTGCCACCATACAACAGTCCCCTTGCCACCACCACCCTCCACAACCACCCGATTCCTGCACTGACCTTAACTGGAGGGAAAGAAGAAGCAGCCGGCTATCCCTGCAGCCTCCAGCATCGCGCAGCCTCAGCCTCCCATGGGGGAGCTCTGGTTGTCCCCATCCTTGCCACTTCCTCTGGGGAGGCGGTGCCTAAAAATTGCCGCCCAAGGCAAACGCCTTGTTTGCCTCCGGGAAAATACGCCACTGGATCTGACCAACAGACTGCTAACTTTGCTACTGTCTGCTGCAAAATCACCTGTGTAGCTGAGCCCTTTATACAGCACACACCAGTTACCCATGCCTTCAAGACCCCATGCACACTGGGCGATTGCCCAACTCTTCTAAACACCAGGAGAAAAGCAGCGTCAGAAGCCAACCGAAAGCCTAGTGTTTGCAAATGGACAGTGGAAGAGTGATTAGCACGGGGGTTCACGCTGGGATAGCTGGAGGGACTCTAGAAGGGTGTGTAATTGCTAGGCTGCTCCTCAACCCTTAGTGTGCACCAGATTGTATAAGATTTGTATCTGCCAGTGTGTGGTCGACCAGCTGGATTGGAGTGGAGTCTCCATCTGGTGGTGGCCAAAGGTAGTGCGGGCTGTGAAAAGGTATCAAGGCTGATCTTATATACGGTTTTATATATTCAAAGTTGAGTCCCCTTTATTCCCTCTTTACCCCCCTGTCACGGCCATGTGTGCGTGCCCTTTGGTAGCTAGTCGCTGTGGGCGTGGCGTGACGGATGGGCCGTGACACTGGCAGTGGGTTTTTTTTTTTTCTGGCACCAAGTTCTCCTGCCTCTAAATGCTTGTAAACACCTATGCAGGTCCGTCTTAATAGCATCACGGGCCCCTGGGAAAAGTAATGCACTGGGGCCCCAACCAGCCTGTCCCAATTTACATGAGTACTCTCAAGAAGTAAAGTATGAATCGTTGATAGAGTAAAACATATATTTATTAACACCTTCAATCATTTTTTTTAACAATAAGAAAACCCAATATTTTTTCTTATATGAGGACCAATACATGGAACGTTACCTGCAGTGGAATGTTTTTTGATGTCTTCTACTTCAGACTCCCAAAGACCTGGAATAGATTGAAGGCCGAACTTAAAGAACATTCATGAATCGAGTATATCTAGCTGGAGGAGCCTTCCACTCCCACATCACAAAGATTACCTCTACTGTCTCCTTCCCAAGGAATTTGTATACCATAAGGTACTCAACTTCCAGCCACTGCTGCTTCCAGATAAGTCACGAGACTGGTCTATAAACCAGAGGCTCTGGATGGACGGTTGGATAAATGGCTCTATATTTAGGAGGTATCCGGTCTATAAACCAGAGGCTCTGGGTGTACAGTTGGATAAATGGTTCTATATTTAGGATATATCCAGTCTATAAACCAGAGGCTCTGGATGTACAGTTGGATAAATGGTTCTATATTTAGGACGTATCCGGTCTATAAACCGGAGGCTCTGGATGGACGGTTGGATAAATGGCTCTATATTTAGGATGTATCCGGTCTATAAACCAGAGGCTCTGGATGGACGGTTGGATAAATGGCTCTATATTTAGGATGTATCCGGTCTATAAACCAGAGGCTCTGGATGGACGGTTGGATAAATGGTTCTATATTTAGGATGTATCCGGTCTGTAAACCAGAGGCTCTGGATGGACTGTTGGATAAATGGCTCTATATTTAGAATGTATCCGGTCTATAAACCAGAGGTCCCAGATGGACAGTTGGATAAATGGTTCTATATTTACGATATATCCGGTCTATAAACCAGAGGCTCTGGGTGTACAGTTGGATAAATGGTTCTATATTTACGATATATCCGGTCTATAAACCAGAGGCTCTGGGTGTACAGTTGGATAAATGGCTCTATATTTACAATATATCCGGTCTATAAACCAGAGGCTCTGGATGGACGGTTGGATAAATGGCTCTATATTTAGCATTTATCCGGTCTATAAACCAGAGGCTCTGGGTGTACAGTTGGATAAATGGTTCTATATTTAGGACGTATCCGGTCTATAAACCAGAGGCTCTGGATGGACGGTTGGATAAATGGCTCTATATTTAGCATTTATCCGGTCTATAAACCAGAGGCTCTGGGTGTACAGTTGGATAAATGGCTCTATATTTAGGACGTATCCGGTCTATAAACCAGAGGCTCAGGGTGTACAGTTGGATAAATGGCTCTATATTTAGGACGTATCCGGTCTATAAACCAGAGGCTCAGGGTGTACAGTTGGATAAATGGCTCTATATTTAGGACGTATCCGGTCTATAAACCAAAGGGCTCTGGATGGACAGTTGGGTTGATGGGTTTTATATTTAGCACTAAATTAATTATAGGGTAGAAGAAGAAGAACGTTCACATACTCACTTCCAACATCTGGGCTTGTTTCCACTTCAGTAGGGGGGTCTGCAAAAAATAACAGAAAACTTCAAAATAACAAACTATATCCACCCTCTCTGGTTCCAAAATATTTTAGGCCTGTAGCAGTAAATGAAATCTGACCCTGACCACATCCTGCTTTCCAGAACCCCAACAACCATCCCAAGCACCGCGGTTCTTGTATCCCGCACCCAAACAAACCAAGAAATCCTACCCTCAACTGCTGAGAACTGATTTCAAATTATGCAAGGGGAGCTGCATTTTTAATAAAATAGTGCAAACATATTTTCATTATCCACACAGGCACAGGAAGAACATCCAAACTCCAGGCAGGTATGAAAAAAAAAATCTTAAAAAAAAAAAAAATGTAATAAAAAATTAAAAATAATAAAAAAAAAAATATATATATATATATATATATATATATATATTTTCTCATACTGTCACCAGTCAGTATCCCTGATCACCGCCCTGCCAGTTATATGAAGACGCTGTACTGCACTGGTGACAGTATGTAAAAAAAAAATAGTGAAAATAATTTTTTTAATTTTTTCATTTTCCGAAAAAGTATGACAAAAAAATACAACTTCAAAAAATTTGCCATGCCTCTTATGAAGTACATTGGACTGTCTACTCTGCAAAAAGGGGTCATTTGGGGGTATCTGTACTGTCCTGACATTTGGGGGATATCTGTACTGTCCTGACAATTGGGGGGATATCTGTACCGTCCTGACATTTGGGGGATATCTGTGCCGTCCTGACATTTGGGGGATATCTGTACCGTCCTGACATTTGGGGGATATCTGTTCTGTCCTGACATTTGGGGGATATCTGTACTGTCCTGACATTTGGGGGATATCTGTTCTGTCCTGACATTTGGGGGATATCTGTTCTGTCCTGACATTTGGGGGATATCTGTTCTGTTCTGACATTTGGGGGATATCTGTACTGTTCTGACATTTGGGGGATATCTGTACTGTCCTGACATTTGGGGGATATCTGTACTGTCCTGACATCTGATTTGGGGGATATCTGTACTGTCCTGACATTTGGGGGATATCTGTACTGTCCTGACATTTGGGGGATATCTGTACTGTTCTGACATTCTTGGACCTCAAGAAATTAGATTGGCTGTCAGTACTTCAGGATTGATCAATATTCAGATCTATACCATAGTTTGTGAACTCTATAACTTTCCTACAAACTAAATAATACATCCTAATTTGGGATATTTTCACCCAAGACATGGAGCAGAATACATCTCGGCCTAAATTTATGAAGAACAATTATTTATTTGCAAACTTTTATAACAGAAACAAAGAAAAACGTGTTTTTTCTTCAAAATTTTTGGTATTTTTTGTTAATTTAGCAAAAAATAAAAACCCCAGCGGTGATTAAATACCATCAAAAGAAAGCTCTAGTTGTGTGAGGAAAATGATAAAATTTTAGTTTGGGTACAATGTTGTATGACCGCGCAAATTGTCATTCAAAGTGTGAGAGCGCTGAAACGTGAAAACTGGCCTGGGGGGGAGGGGGTAAAATTGCCCGTTTTAAATTGGTTAAACATGTCCGAAAATGTAAAAAAAATCGAATTTCGTCATAAATTTAGGCCAAAATGTATTCTGCTCCGTGTCTTCGCTAAAAAAAAAATCCCGATAATGAATTGGTTTATGTGAAAGTTATAGCGTCTACAAGTGGAGGTAAATATAGTGGGATTGTTTTATTTTATTTTTTATTTTTACTAGTAATGGCGGCGATCATCGACTTATAGCAGGACTGCAGGATTGCGGCGGGCATTCTTACACTAGGGGGGGGGGGGGGGGGGGACTTGGTGTCAGTGACACCAATACAGTGATCAGTGCTAATAAACAGCACCAACACTGTACTAATGGCACTGGGCAGGAAGGGGTTAACATGAGGGGCGATCAAAGGATTACCTGTGTGCTGAGAGTGTTTTAGTAGGGGGGGGGTGTGCTTCACTGTAAGCACACTGATCAGGATGGCTGTGCTCAGCCATCCCAATTAGTGTGCTCAAACTGACAGGGAGGAGGGCTGTCAGTCGGCGATCGCAGGTACTCACCGGGCCACAGCGGATAATCATCGGCCAGGACCCAGTGATTGACACCTAGGGCCACGATCATCAGCATGGGTAGGGTGCGCTTGCGGATCACGCGCGTTCCCTACCTGCCTGGTGGTTCACTGTGAGCATGCTGCTATGCAGAGCCATACAAAGCAGTGTGCAGGAGCTGACAGGGGAGAGATCTGTATTGTTTACATACAGGTTTCTCCCCCGTCGGAGATGCTCAGCAATCACCGGGCGCCGGCGAGTAATCACCGGCTGGAACCGAATGGTGTCACGGGTAGCTCACGCCCCCTACCCAGAATACATGGTCACATAGGCTCCAGATGGAATGAAGCAAGGATATAAAACATTGACAGACTTACTCCCGATGTTAGGCCCCGGATCCATCCAATACCGAGTCACTGCAAAACAGAAAGGAAGAAGCAAGATGATTGCAGAGTGTAAAGAATGGGGGGGGGGGGGGGGGGGGGGGAATAATGGGATTCATAGTTTTCAGAAAGATTTTTCTCTCCCAGTTCCTCCTACAGAGACGAGGACGCAGCATTTCTGGCCACAGCAACAAATATTCTCTGTAATTGATTTTAGCCGGAAAAATGAAAACTTCTTCAGCCCCCACACCTGAGGATTGGTGAATCTGATTGGAACAAGGAGGCACTCTAATAGGGATAGTGGGTGTAAGGGGGCACTCTGATGGGGATAGTTGATGTAAGGGGGAACTCTGATGGGGACAGGTGATGTAAGGGGGCACTCTGATGGGGACAGTTGATGTAAGGGGGCACTCTGATGGGGGTGGTTGATATAAGGGGGCACTCTGATGGGGGTGGTTGATATAGGGGGGCACTCTGATGGGGGTGGTTGATATAGGGGGGCACTCTGATGGGGACGGTTGATATAAGGGGCACTCTGGTGGGGACAGTTGATGTAAGGGGGCACTCTGATGGGACAGTTTATATATGGAGGCACTCTGATGGGACAGGTGATGTAAGGGGCACTCTGATGGGGACAGTTGATATAAGGGGACACATTGATGGGGACACTTGATATAAGGGGGCACTCTGATGGGGACACTTGATACAAGGGGGCACTCTGATGGGGGCGGTTGATATAAGGGGGCACTCTGATGGGGGCGGTTGATATAAGGGGGCACTCTGATGGGGACATTTGATATAAGGGGGCACTCTGATATGGACACTTGATATAAGGGAGCACTCTGATGGGGGCATTTGATGTAAGGGGACACCCTGATGGGGGAGGTTGATATAAGGGGGCACTCTGATGGGGACATTTGATATAAGGGGCACTTTGATGGGGACATTTGATGTAGGGGGCACTCTGATGGCGGCGGTTGATGTAAGGGGGCACTCTGATGGCGGCGGTTGTTGTAAGGGGGCACTCTGATGGGGACACTTGATATAAGGAGACGCACTTATAGGGATAGTTGATATAAGGAGACACTCTGGTGGGGACACTTGATATAACGGGGCACTCTTATAGGGATAGTTGATATAAGGGGGCACTCTGATGAGGGCGGTTGATATAAGGGGGCACTCTGATGGGGACATTTGATATAAGGGGGCACTCTGATGGGGGTGGTTGATGTAAGGGGGCACTCTGATGGTGACATTTGATAAAAGAAGACGCACTTATAGGGATAGTTGATATAAGGGGGCTCTCTGGTTGGGACACTTGATGTAAGGGGGCACTCTGGTTGGGACACTTGATATAAGGAGGCGCTCTGGTTGGGACACTTGATATAAGGAGGCGCTCTGGTTGGGACACTTGATATAAGGAGGCGCTCTGGTTGGGACACTTGATATAAGGAGGCGCTCTGGTTGGGACACTTAATGTAAGGAGGCGCTCTGGTTGGGACACTTGATGTAAGGAGGCGCTCTGGTTGGGACACTTGATGTAAGGAGGCGCTCTGGTTGGGACACTTGATGTAAGGGGGGTTGGGATCACTCTGATGGGGGACGCTCTGGTTGGGACACTTGATGTAAGGGGGCGCTCTGGTTGGGACACTTGATGTAAGGGGGCACTCTGGTTGGGACACTTGATGTAAGGGGGCACTCTGGTTGGGACACTTGATGTAAGGGGGCACTCTGGTTGGGACACTTGATATAAGGAGGCACTCTGGTTGGGACACTTGATGTAAGGGGGCACTCTGGTTGGGACACTTGATATAAGGAGGCACTCTGGTTGGGACACTTGATGTAAGGGGGCACTCTGGTTGGGACACTTGATATAAGGAGGTGCTCTGGTTGGGACAGGTTGATATAAGGGGGCACTCTGGTTGGGACAGGTTGATATAAGGGGGCACTCTGGTTGGGACAGGTTGATATAAGGGGGCACTCTGGTTGGGACAGGTTGATATAAAGAGGTGCTCTGGTTGGGACACTTGATGTAAGGGGGCACTCTGGTTGGGACACTTTATATAAGGAGGCACTCTGGTTGGGACACTTGATGTAAGGGGGCACTCTGGTTGGGACACTTGATATAAGGAGGTGCTCTGGTTGGGACAGGTTGATATAAGGGGGCACTCTGGTTGGGACAGGTTGATATAAGGGGGCACTCTGGTTGGGACAGGTTGATATAAGGGGGCACTCTGGTTGGGACAGGTTGATATAAAGAGGTGCTCTGGTCTGGTTGGGACACTTGATGTAAGGGGGCGCTCTGGTTGGGATAGTTTATATAAGGGGGTACTCTAATAGGGATAGTTGATATTAAGAGGCACTCTGATTGGAGGGCCTATTGTTGCTGGGAGGATCTGTTATTTCTGGGAGGATCTGTTATTTTCTGGGGTGATCTATTGTTACTGTGTGGTATATTTTATTGCAGGGGATCTGTTGTTGGGGGATTATATTGTTGCTGGTGTGGATCTATTGTTATGGGGGAGGGGTGTTTGTTGCAGGAGATTTATTGTTGCTGGGAGGATTTATTGTTACTGGGGAGCTCTGTTGTTGCTGGGGGAGGGGGGTCTATTTTTGCTAGCTGCAGGGCATCTATTTTACTGCTTTTCTTGTTACCAATCAATAACAAATTCCATGCAAACTACTTTGCACCACTGAATGATACGTTCTTCTGTTTTCTCTAAAGGGGCGGTACTAGGAGGTTAGTTCGGGGTGGGATCAAAGGACAGTGCTCAGAGGTGAGTAGGGGGGTGGCACCAAAGGACAGTGCTCAGAGATGGGACCAAAGGATAGTGCTCAGAGGTGGGTAGGGGTGGGACCAAAGGACAGTGCTCAGAGGTGGGACCAAAGGAGGAGTGCTCAGAGATGGGACCAAAGGAGGAGTGCTCAGAGGTGGGTAGGGGTGGGACCAAAGGACAGTGCTCAAAGGAGGGTAGGGGTTGGGTCCAAAGGACAGTGCTCAAAGGTGGGTAGTGGTGGGACCAAAGGACAGTGCTCAAAGGTGGGTAGTGGTGGGACCAAAGGACAGTGCTCAAAGGTGAGACCAAAGGACAGTGCTCAGAGGTGGGAAGGGGGTGGGACCAAAGGGCAGTGCTCAAAGGTGAGACCAAAGGACAGTGCTCAGAGGTGGGAAGGAGGCGGGACCAAAGTGCAGTGCTCAGGGGTGGGACCAAAGGACAGTGCTCAGAGGTGGGTAGGGGGTGGGACCAAAGGACAGTGCTCAGAGGTGGGACCAAAGGATAGTGCTCAGAGGTGGGACCAAAGGATAGTGCTCAGAGGTGGGACCAAAGGATAGTGCTTAGAGGTGGGTAAGGGTGGGACCAAAGGACAGTGCTAAAAGGTGAGACCAAAGGACAGTGCTCAGAGGTGGGACCAAAGGACAGTGCTCAGAGGTGGGACCAAAGGACAGTGCTCAGAGGTGGGTAAGGGTGGGACCAAAGGACGGTGCTCAGAGGTGGGACCAAAGGATAGTGCTCAGAGGTGGGAAGGGGGTGGGACCAAAGGACAGTGCTCAGAGGTGGGAAGGGGGTGGGACCAAAGGGCAGTGCTCAGAGGTGGGACCAAAGGACAGTGCTCAGAGGTGGGACCAAAGGACAGTGCTCAGAGGTGGGTAGGGGGTGGGGACCAAAGGACAGTGCTCAGAGGTGGGACCAAAGGACAGTGCTCAGAGATGGGACCAAAGGACAGTGTTCAGAGGTGGGACCAAAGGAGGAGTGCTCATAGGTGGGTAGGGGTGGGACTAAAGGACAGTGCTCAAAGGAGGGTAGGGGTTGGGTCCAAAGGACAGTGCTCAGAGGTGGGTAGTGGTGGGACCAAAGGACAGTGCTCAAAGGTGGTAGTAGTGGGACCAAAGCACAGTGCTCAGAGGTGAGACCAAAGGACAGTGCTCAGAGGTGGGAAGGGGGTGGGACCAAAGGACAGTGCTCAAAGGTGGGTAGTGGTGGGACCAAAGGACAGTGCTCAAAGGTGAGACCAAAGGACAGTGCTCAGAGGTGGGAAGGGGGTGGGACCAAAGTGCAGTGCTCAGAGGTGGGACCAAAGGACAGTGCTCAGAGGTGGGACCAAGGAGGACAGTGCTCAGAGGTGGACCAAAGGTCAGTGCTCAGAGGTGGGACCAAAGGACAGTGCTCAGAGGTGGGTAGGGGGGTGGGACCAAAGGACAGTGCTCAGAGGTGGGACCAAAGGACAGTGCTCAGAGGTGGGACCAAAGGACAGTGCTCAGAGGTGGGATCAAAGGACAGTGCTCAGAGGTGGGACCAAAGGAGGAGTGCTCAGAGGTGGGTAGGGGTGGGACCAAAGGACAGTGCTCAGAGGTGGGTAGTGGTGGGACCAAAGGACAGTGCTCAAAGGTGAGACCAAAGGACAGTGCTCAGAGGTGAGACCAAAGGACAGTGCTCAGAGGTGGGAAGGGGGTGGGACCAAAGTGCAGTGCTCAAAGGTGAGACCAAAGGACAGTGCTCAGAGGTGGGTAGGGGGTGGGACCAAAGGACAGTGCTCAGAGGTGGGACCAAAGGATAGTGCTCAGAGGTGGGACCAAAGGAGGAGTGCTCAGAGGTGGGTAGGGGTGGGATCAAAGGACAGTGCTCAAAGGAGGGTAGGGGTTGGGTCCAAAGGACAGTGCTCAAAGGTGGGTAGTGGTGGGACCAAAGGATAGTGCTCAAAGGTGGGTAGTGGTGGGACCAAAGGACAGTGCTCAAAGGTGAGACCAAAGGACAGTGCTCAGAGGTGGGAAGGGGGTAGGACCAAAGGGCAGTGCTCAAAGCTGAGACCAAAGGACAGTGCTCAGAGGTGGGAAGGAGGCGGGACCAAAGTGCAGTGCTCAGGGGTGGGACCAAAGGACAGTGCTAAAAGGTGAGACCAAAGGACAGTGCTAAAAGGTGAGACCAAAGGACAGTGCTCAGAGGTGGGAAGGGGGTGGGACCAAAGGGCAGTGTTTAAAGGTGGGACCAAAGGACAGTGCTCAGAGGTGGGACCAAAGGACAGTGTTCAGAGGTGGGACCAAAGGACAGTGCACAGAGGTGGGACCAAAGGAGGAGTGCTCAGAGGTGGGTAGGGGTGGGACCAAAGGACAGTGCTCAGAGGTGGGTAGTGGTGGGACCAAAGGACAGTGCTCAAAGGTGAGACCAAAGGACAGTGCTCAGAGGTGAGACCAAAGGACAGTGCTCAGAGGTGGGAAGGGGGTGGGACCAAAGTGCAGTGCTCAAAGGTGAGACCAAAGGACAGTGCTCAGAGGTGGGTAAGGGGTGGGACCAAAGGACAGTGCTCAGAGGTGGGACCAAAGGATAGTGCTCAGAGGTGGGACCAAAGGAGGAGTGCTCAGAGGTGGGTAGGGGTGGGACCAAAGGACAGTGCTCAAAGGAGGGTAGGGGTTGGGTCCAAAGGACAGTGGTCAAAGGTGGGTAGTGGTGGGACCAAAGGACAGTGCTCAAAGGTGGGTAGTGGTGGGACCAAAGGACAGTGCTCAAAGGTGAGACCAAAGGACAGTGCTCAGAGGTGGGAAGGGGGTGGGACCAAAGGGCAGTGCTCAAAGGTGAGACCAAAGGACAGTGCTCAGAGGTGGGAAGGAGGCGGCGACCAAAGTGCAGTGCTCAAGGGTGGGACCAAAGGACAGTGCTAAAAGGTGAGACCAAAAGGACAGTGCTAAAAGGTGAGACCAAAGGACAGTGCTCAGAGGTGGGAAGGGGGTGGGACCAAAGGGCAGTGTTTAAAGGTGAGACCAAAGGACAGTGCTCAGAGGTGGGAAGGGGGTGCGACCAAAGTGCAGTGCTCAGAGGTGGGACCAAAGGACAGTGCTCAGAGGTGGGTAGGGGGTGGGACCAAAGGACAGTGCTCAGAGGGTGGACCAAAGGATAGTGCTCAGAGGTGGGTAAGGGTGGGACCAAAGGACGGTGCTCAGAGGTGGGACCAAAGGATAGTGCTCAGAGGTGGGAAGGGGGTGGGACCAAAGGGCAGTGCTCAGAGGTGGGACCAAAGGACAGTGCTCAGAGGTAGGTAGGGGGTGGGACCAAAGAGCAGTGCTCAGAGGTGGGACCAAAGGGCAGTGCTCAGAGGTGGGTAGGGGTGGGACCAAAGGACAGTGCTCAGAGGTGGGACCAAATGGCAGTGCTCAGAGGTGGGTAGGGGGTGAGACTAAAGGACAGTGCTCAGAGGTGAGACCAAAGGACAGTGCTCAGAGGTGGGAAGGGGGGTGGGACCAAAGGACAGTGCTCAAAGGTGGGTAGTGGTGGGACCAAAGGACAGTGCTCAAAGGTGAGACCAAAGGACAGTGCTCAGAGGTGGGACCAAAGGACAGTGCTCAGAGGTGGGTAGGGGGTGGGACCAAAGGACAGTGCTCAGAGGTGGGTAGGGGGTGGGACCAAAGGACAGTGCTCAGAGATGGGGCCAAAGGACAGTGCTCAGAGATGGGACCAAAGGAGGAGTGCTCAGAGGTGGGTAGGGGTGGGACCAAAGGACAGTGCTCAAAGGAGTATAGGGGTTTGGTCCAAAGGACAGTGCTTAGAGGTGGGTAGTGGTGGGACCAAAGGACAGTGCTCAAAGGTGAGACCAAAGGACAGTGCTCAGAGGTAGGAAGGGGGTGGGACCAAAGTGCAGTGCTCAGAGGTGGGACCAAAGGACAGTGCTCAGAGGGGGGTAGGGGGTGGGACCAAAGGACAGTGCTCAGAGGTGGGACCAAAGGACAGTGCTCAGAGGTGGACCAAAGGATAGTGCTCAGAGGTGGGTAGGGGGTGGGACCAAAGGACAGTGCTCAGAGGTGGGTAGGGGGTGGGACCAAAGGACAGTGCTCAGAGGTGGGTAGGGGGTGGGACCAAATGACAGTGCTCAGAGGTGGGTAGGGGGTGGGATCAAAGGAAAGTGATACAAGAAACTACTCACTTTTCATCTGTGGTGTAAAATCAGAGTAGTCCAGGTCATCATAATCTTCAACATACCTAGACAACGACAAAAAAATGTATTACTGATCCGAAAGACGTACTGAGGCTAAACGTTTGTTTTATTTTGGATGGAGTAATGGAGGGTTATGACCCCGGTCAGTTTTTGTTTTGTTTTTTGTCATCTGTGTCCCCATTGGGGAGATATCACTTCCTGACCCATAGCCACAATGGGAAGTGAGAGGAAATCTCTGCAAAATGAGGGAATCCCTGGTTGTCACCTGATCTCTGTGTCCCCGTTGGAAGATTTTCTCCTCTTTGGCGACAACCTGAAATTTTGGATTTTCTTTCACTTTCAGTGATGTCACCAGGACAGAGGCAGTGAATTTTACCAACACGGTCGTCCTTTTACTATAGGCCGGACGGGGCATTCGCCGTTCGGAGCGGACGTCATGTGACATCTTCACCTCATGTGCGCCCCATGTGCTGCGGCATAATCTGTCACCTGCTGTGTCCACCGGACGACCTATCAGTGTATTGGCCCGCTGCCGGTACCATGTGATCTCTGTGTCCACCGGACGACCTATCAGTGTATTGGCCCGCTGCCGGTACCATGTGATCTCTGTGTCCACCGGACGACACTATCAGTGTACCGGCCCGCTGCCGGTACCATGTGATCTCTGTGTCCACCGGATGACCTATCAGTGTATTGGCCAGCTGCCGGTACCAATGTGATTGCTGTGTCCACCGGACGACCTATCAGTGTACCGGCCTGCTGCCGTACCATGTGATCGCTGAGTCCACCGGACGACCTATCAGTGTATCGGCCAGCTGCCGGTAACCATGTGATCGCTGTGGCCAATCGCAGCAGATCACATGATAACTGTACTTCCTTTAATTGTACTTCCATTCATCTATTAGACCCCAGATGTCTCCTCTGACCTGAAAAGCATCTGATCACACCAAGATCGATGTGTTCAGATGCTTGCTTTCCCTATTTAACAAATGGCGCAGTCCACATCAGGGAAACCGGAAAATCATGAAAATGCTCATCGCTTCCAGTTACCTGTACCATAGAGATGATCAGGGACCATCTGGTCCACCATCTGGTCCTCCATGAGCTCTGTGGTAAACCGGCAGAACTGCTGGTTGAACACCCGGATCTCCCAGTGGGATGGGAGAGCTACGGAAGGTGGCCGAAGGGTGTGGAGGGGAGTCTCCTGCCACTTCTTGTAAAAGAAATCCAGTGGCTAATTAGCCGCTAGGATTGCTTTTACAAGCAAGTCGACCGCCGCTGGGGTGGCTAGTGTAGGCATCAGGGACTCTCCGTGGGGGTGGACGGCTCTCTTGGGTGGATGGGGGGCAGCGGTAGTGGAAGGCTCTCTTGGGTGGGGTGCTGTTGGTCAATGTCAGGCTCTCTTCGTGGGGGAGGGGGGTGTTGGTCGGCATCAGGGACTCTCCGTGGGGGGTGGACGGCTCTCTTGGGTGGATGGGGGGCTGGGGTGTTGTTGGTCAATGTCAGGCTTTCTTAATGGGGGAGGGGGGTGTTGGTCAATGTTAGGCTTTCTTTGTGGGTAAGGGGGGTGTTGGTCGGCATCAGGAACTCTCTGTGGGGGGTGGACGGCTCTCTTGGGTGGATGGGGGGCAGTGGTAGTGCAAGGCTCTCTTGGGTGGGGTGCTGTTGGTCAATGTCAGGCTCTCTTCGTGGGGGAGGGGGGTGTTGGTCGGTGTCAGGGTCTCTCCGTGGGGTGCCTAGGGCAGCACAAAACCTAAATCCACCCCTGCAGTGGCTGCGTATCAGACCTGTGTGATTGCAGTCTTGATGGAAACCCGCGAGTCGGAAGCCTGTGGTGCCTACAGAACAGAAATACGGGAAAGGTGTGGTTTGGGTTTGAACTTCATGGCAGATTTCCTATCATGTAAATGGCGAACAGAAAGATGTGTGATCTGCTACTGCTTGTAAAACCAGTCAGGCGGGAATATGTCCCGAGTTCTGGTGTCGCCCTGCGTTCCGTACATTGTTCCTGCCCGTTGTGTCCGGAACTCTGATCCCCGTAACATCGCCCCAGATGCCTGCTACCCTACTGGGTGTGGCCTTGTTTGTGATTACCACCTGCATGCCAGAAGAAGCCCTGACCTCCATACTCACCTGACACCTTCCATTCCTCTGTACTCACCTGACACCTTCCATACCTCCATACTCACCTGACACCTTCCATTCCTCTGTACTCACCTGACACCTTCCATACCTCCATACTCACCTGACACCTCCCAGACATCTGTACTCACCTGACACCTTCCATACCTCTGTACTCACCTGACACCTTTCATACCTCTGTACTCACCTGACACCTTCCATACCTCTGTACTCACCACCTGACACCTCCCATACCTCTGTACTCACCTGACACCTCCCATACCTCCATACTCACCTGACACCTTCCATACCTCCATACTCACCTGACACCTTCCATACCTCTCTGTACTTACCTGACACCTTCCATACCTCTGTACTCACCTGACACCTTCCATACCTCTGTACTCACCTGACACCTCCCATACCTCCATACTCACCTGACACCTTCCATACCTCCATACTCACCTGACACCTTCCATACCTCTGTACTTACCTGACACCTTCCATACCTCTTTAATGTTCTTTACTCTCTTTAAATCAGACTTATGATGTGATTTGCATACAAAAGGCTTGTGTGACTATATATATAGATAATGATACATATCCCGAGCTTCCATTACCTGTCCATAGGCCAGAGATCTACAAACAAAAGAAAATACATTTCAAGTGTTACAGTGACAGACTCTGAATCCTGGGATCTATCTCTCTTTATATATACAGTGGGGATGGAAAGTTTGGGCACCCCAGCTAAAAATTTGTATTAATGTGCATAAAGAAGCCAAGGAAAGATGGAAAAATCTCCAAAAGGCATCAAATTACAGATTAGACATTCTTATAATATGTCAACAAAAGTTAGATTTTATTTCCATCATTTACACTTTCAAATAACAGAAAACAAAAAAATGGCGTCTGCAAAAGTTTGGGCCCCCTGCAGAGTTTATAGCATGCACTGCCCCCTTTGCCAAGCTGAGACCTGCCAGTGTCATGGATTGTTCTCAATCATCGTCTGGGAAGACCAGGTGATGTCAATCTCAAAGGTTTTAAATGCCCTGACTCATCTGACCTTGCCCAACAATCAGCATCATGGGTTCTTCTAAGCAGTTGTCTAGAAAACTGAAACTGAAAATAGTTGACGCTCACAAAGCTGGAGAAGGCTATAAGAAGATAGCAAAGTGTTTTCAGATGTCAATATCCTCTGTTCGGAATGTCATTAAGAAATGGCAGTCATCAGGAACAGTGGAAGTTAAAGCAAGATCTGGAAGACCAAGAAAAATATCAGACAGAACAGCTCGCAGGATTGTGAGAAAAACAATTCAAAACCCACGTTTGACTGCACGATCCCTCCAGAAAGATCTGGCAGACACTGGAGTTGTGGTCACTATTCCACTATAAAGAGATACTTGTACAAATATGGTCTTCATGGAAGAGTCATCAGAAGAAAACCTCTTCTACGTCCTCACCCACAAAAAATCATCGTTTGAACTTTGCAAATGAACATATAGACAAGCCTGATGCATTTTGGAAACAAGTTCTGTGGACCGATGAGGTTAAAATTGAAGTTTTTGGCTGGAATGAGCAAAGGTACGTTTGGAGAAGAAGGGGCACAGAATTTAATGAAAAGAACCTCTGTCCAACTGTGAAGCATGGGGTTGGATCAGTCATGCTTTGGGGTTGTGTTTGCAGCCAGTGGCACAGGGAACATCTCACGAGTAGAAGGAAAAATGGATTCAATAAAATTTCAGCAAATTTTGGATGGTAACTTGATGCCATCTGTGAAAAAGCTGAAGTTAAAGAGAGGATAGCTTCTACAAATGGATAATGATCCTAAACACACCTCGAAATCCACGGGGGATTACATCAAGAGGCGTAAACTGAAGGTTTTGCCATGGCCTTCACAATCTCCTGACCTCAACATCATTGAAAATCTATGGATAGACCTTAAAAGAGCCGTGCGTGACAGACAGCCCAGAAATCTCAAAGAACTGGAAGACTTTTGTAAGGAAGAATGGGCAAAGATACCTCAAACAAGAATTGAAAGACTCTTGGCTGGCTACAAAAAAGCGTTTACAAGCTGTGATACTTGCCAAAGGGGGCAGTACAAGATATTAACTCTGCAGGGGGCCCAAACTTTTGCAGACGCCATTTTTTTGTTTTCTGTTCCTTTGAAAGTGTAAATGATGGAAATAAAATCTAACTTTTGTTGACATAATTATAAGAATGTCTAATCTGTAATTTGATGCCTTTTGGAGATTTTTTCCATCTTTCCTTGGCTTCTTTATGCACATTAATACACATTTTTAGCTGGGGTGCCCAAACTTTCCATCCCCACTGTATATTTATATCCATCTCTCTCTATTATCTATCTATCTATCATCTCTCTTTCTACCCCTCTCTCTCCCCCCCCTCTCTTTCTCTATCCATCTCTTTCTCTCGCTCCCCCCCTCCATATTTCTCTCTATCCATCTATCCTCTCTCTCTCTCCCCCCCCCCCCCCCCAATACATCCATCTCTCTCTCTCCATCTCCACCCATCTCTCTCTCCCCCACCTCTCTCTCTCTCGCGCGCCACTTTCCCCCCTCTCTCTCTCCATATCTCTCTCTCTCGCGCACTCCCCCCTCTCTCTCCATATCTCTCTCTTTCTCTTGCTCCCCCCCTCTCTCTCTCTAATATCTATCTATCGATCTACCTCTATAAAATGTTCCTATGAACCCCTCACTCACCGTCTTGATATGGCAGTACGGAGTTTGCTGCGGCAAGAATTGCCAGAATCCAGAGGAGCCCCATACCGAGAGATCTGGGCGCTATCCTGAGATTTGTGGTCCCGACAGATGCTGCAGCTGCCTCTTATAATCAGAATGGATTGCATCACATTGTGTGTGTGGGGCGAGTTTCCCGTACGAAGCCTGATATGCTTTCCAAAGTTCCAGGGAAATGTTTTTCAGACTCAATTTCTACAGAAATGGTGTTTAAAGTTCAATTCACCCTAAAACAAATGATGGCAGAAAGTATAGGAGCGCTACGTAGTGCAGGATAAGGCGGCTGACATAAAGGCAAAACCTCTTAACCTTCATAAAATCCAATAATAAATATGCAAACAACACAAATGATATAAACTGATATATTAGTGCTGTGAGGCGCTGAAGTTAAATTCGAGTGCAATGAACGTCTACGGACCAGGGACGGACTGACAACTCATGGGGCCCCCGGGCAATAGGGGATCATGGGGCCCCTGTGTCCTCAAATCACACCCAAAAAACCTATGAAAGGTACCAGGGGCATCTCATGGGGCCCCCTACTACTGCCCTCGGGCAGTGCCTGAGTTCCCAAATGGTCAGTCCGCCCCTGCTACGGACGTTATATTGTGGAGGTGGTGAACTCCAATATTATAGTGTTACAGATAAGCGCATAAGTCCCCAACTCCACATAGAAGTGCAGATCGGGACTCCAGTGATGTGTAAATAAGTGTAGATTGCACTAACCAGACAGCGCAATCATATGCGCATCTGAGTACTTAAAACCACTCCTGGTCCTCTGTGTATAGAAGGATGAACATCCACAGGTCAACTGGCCAACCAGCAGAAGGACAAGTAATCGTAGGGTCATCAGCCTCCAGGGATCAGGAATCACTCAGCCATCCACCAGGGGGATCACACTCCAGGTACCAGCCCGTCCACCAGGGGGATCACACTCCAGGTATCAGCCGTCCACCAGGGGGATCACACTCTCCAGGTATCAGCCGTCCACCAGGGGGATCACACTCCAGGTATCAGCCGTCCACCAGGGGGATCACACTCCACCAGGGGGTATCAGCCATCCACCAGGGGGATCACACTCCAGGTATCAGCCGTCCACCAGGGGGATCACCACTCCCAGGTATCAGCCGTCCACCAGGGGGATCACACTCCAGGTATCAGCCGTCCACCAGGGGGATCACACTCCAGGTATCAGCCGTCCACCAGGGGGATCACACTCCAGGTATCAGCCGTCCACCAGGGGGATCACACTCCAGGTATCAGCCGTCCACCAGGGGGATCACACTCCAGGTATCAGCCATCCACCAGGGGGATCACACTCCAGGTACCACCAGGGGGATCCACACTCCAGCCATCCACCAGGGGGATCACACTCCAGGTATCAGCCATCCACCAGGGGGATCACACTCCAGGTACCAGCCATCCACCAGGGGGATCACACTCCAGGGGATATCCATGGTATCATGAATAGCCACCAGGGGGACCTCTCTCAATGGCAGGTACAGAGCAGTAGCAAAATCCACCTTGGGGGGGCTCGCAATCAAACAGAAGTTTCTGATAGTGTAGTATTTTATTAGAAAAAAGTTTCCATGTGAAAGTAGATCCAGTAAGACATAAAGCACTCACAGTGTGAATAGAGAATCAAAGATGGCCGCCGGCCTGACACATTGCCCGAGCGGCGTCACACCCTGGCTCCTCCCTAACGCGTTTCGTGCACAAGCACGTTATCAAAGGGAGCGTGCCTACATGAATGGGTGATTTAAATAGCGAACCACGCGCATGCATGGGTAGGGTACGCTGACGCCATTTTGGTCCGTTCGCGCATACGCGAGCGGCCATTTTATCAGTTATTCACAGACTACATTAGGAGACACAAGGGAATGGAAGCAATCCGTACATCTCGTCCCCGGATTACAAACAGATAATATAATACGGAGTGCATAGATATTAGATGGTTTATCTGAAACCCCTGAAGGGAACAGGGAACGAGATGAGTTACAAACGGGGGTTATATTTGGTGATGGTAATCATTAAAACCCAGCCTCCATTTTGTTGTAGACCAGATATACCAAGTCACAGACAATAACGTCTGAGTTACGGAGGGGACATATCAAATCAATATTAGTGGAACCACAGGTCCCAGTGATCAACAACATGCCATTAGTTAAAATATGTCTCTGTGTGTCTGTGTATAAGACAGAATACATTATTATAAAAAGCCTCATATTAGTCCGTGTGTAAATATAAAGACAAAGATATATGAAAAAAGAAGAAGACGCAGATTCCCCACTTTAATAACAAAGGGGAATGTGCGTTAATGACATAAACATGGCAATCTCCATAAAAGCATTGCTAATAGCAAATGTATATAATAAAAAGATCAAATATAAATAGATGCAAAAAATATAAAATCAATAAATGTGAAACATATCTCCAGGAATAATATACAGTAAAGGCACTAAAACGTGAGTACAAAATAAATGCACATAAAATTATATATATAGTTCATAGGGCCCCATAGCCTTGGTATAAAACCCTAAAATTGCCCCAAACTCTCATAAAGATGTATAAAAGGTATATAAATAGCATTAAGATGGTAGTTGTATTATAAAAACATATACTAGACACTGGGGAAAAGTGCATAATCCAGAATCTTAAAAAATGAGATTAAAACTCATAAATTAGGGACAATATCATTAAAAAATCAGTAATAAATCCAATCAATAAGATACCTTAAGGACCAACGTGAATATATACAGTGAGAAACAGAAGTATTTGAACCCCCTGAGATTTTGCAAGTTCTCCCACTTCTCCATCATGGAGGGTCTGACATTCACATTGCAGGGGATTCCCACTCTGAGGACAGAATTCAGGAGATCACATTGTATGATTTCTAAAGAATGTATTTGTCTCGCACGGCTGAACAGAAGTATTTGAACCCCTGAGAAACAGCAAGAATTCTGGCTCTCAAAGACCTGTTACTGCGCCTTTACAAAGTCCTCCTCTACTCCACTCATTCATCTCGCTTAGCAGCACCTGTCTGAGCTCTTTAACGACACATGTCCACCCCACAGTCAGTCAGACGCCAACTGCTACCATGGGCAAGACCAAAGAGCTGTCAAAAGACACCAGAAACAAAATTGTGGACCTCCACAAGGCTGGAAAGGGCTACGGGGCAATTGCCAAGCAGCTTGGTGAAAATAGATCAACTGTTGGAGCAATTGTTAGAAAATGGAAGAGGCTGAAGACGACTGTCGGTCTCCCTCGGACTGGGGCTCCATGCAAGATGTCACCTCGTGGGGTATCACTGATGATAAGAAAGGTGAGGAATCAGCCCAGAACTACAAGGGAGGAGCTGGTCAATGACATGAAGAGAGCTGGGACCACAGTTTCACAGGTCACTGTCGGTAGAACACTACGCTGTCATGGTTTCCAATCATGCATTGCACGGAAGGTTCCCCTGCTCAAGTCATCACATGTCCAGGCCGTCTGAAGGTTCCCCTGCTCCAGTCATCACATGGCCAGGCCCGTCTAAAGGTTCCCCTGCTCAAGTCATCACATGTCCAGGCCCGTCTGAAGGTTCCCCTGCTCAAGTCATCACATGTCCAGGCCCGTCTGAAGGTTCCTCTGCTCCAGTCATCACATGTCCAGGCCCGTCTGAAGTTTGCCAATGACCATCTGGATGATCCAGAGGAGGCATGGGAGAAAGTCATGTGGTCAGATGAGATCAAAGTAGAACTTTTTGCTCTAAACTTCACTCGTCGTGTTGGAGGAAAAAGAAGGATGAGTTGCATCCCAAGAACACCATCCCTACTGTGAAGCATGGGGGTGGTAACATCATACTTTGCTTTTCTGCGAAGGGGACAGGACGACTGCACTGTATTAAGGAGAGGATGAATGGGGCCATTTATTGTGAGATTTTGAGCATTTATTGTGAGATTTTGAGATTTTTGATTCGGTAACTGGAGATCAGAACGTGCGGGGTTAAGCAGGAGAATGGTCAGACAAGCCAGGGATCAGGACAGGAGACAGACAGCAAATCAGAGTCAGGCAGGGCCGGCAACGAAACAATCTACTATACAGGAACTCAGGATACAGGAAAGACCATACGGCAACTAAACACAGTCCTAACCTGTTTTAAATAGGGCGCCCTGATTGGTGCCAAGCTCGCGTCCGCAATCGCAAGTGCGCATGCGTGAGCGCCGCTGCAATCGCAGGTGCCCTGGTCCCAATCCTCACACGCTAGTGCGGCCGGGCACACCGCGCATGCGCAGACTCGTGCGTGATCGCGGCCAACACTGGGGTCCCTGACACTGTGAGATGAAATCCTCCATGTTGTCGCAATTCCTGCGAATACGCAAGAATTGACCCTTCGGTATGTTATTAAGCCATTTCGGATGTCGACCACCCCCTCCTCCTCCTCAAAAAACTATACTCTTTTGGCCTCAGAGACTCCGCTCTCTCCTGGTTCTCCTCCTACCTATCGCAGCGCTCCTTCAGTGTTACCTATAATGCTGCCACCTCCCCCTCTCTGTTGGGGTCCCTCAAGGCTCTGTCCTCGGGCCCCTTCTCTTCTCCATCTACACCTCCTCCCTTGGTCAACTCATACACTCTCACGGCTTCAACTATCACCTCTATGCCGACAACACACAAATTTACCTCTCCACCCCCCACCTCACCCCTTCAGTCTCCGCCCGAATAACTAGCCTACTGAACGACATATCAGACTGGATGTCACTCCACTTCCTCAAACTAAACCTTTCCAAAACCGAGCTCCTAGTTTTCCCCCCAGCCCGTGCCCCCCCCTTCCCAACTTCTCCATCACGACCAACAAGCTACCATCAGCCCCACTCCGCAAGCCAGAATACTAGGTGTCATTCTAGACTCCAATCTGTCTTTCCAGCCCCAGATCCAATCGCTGACAAATTCATGCAGACTCCACCTCCGCAACATCTCCAAAATCCGCACGTTCCTAACCCCAGAAACTACAAAGTAACTCATCCACTCCCTCATCATATCAGGACTTGACTACTGCAACTCCCTCCTCGCCGTCCTACCCCAACACAGGCTATCCCCGCTTCAGTCTATCCTGAATTCTGCGGCCAGACTAATCCACCTCACCAACCGCTCCGTATGCGCCTCCCCCAATCCCTCCACTGGCTCCGATCAGTGTCCTCCACCCCCCTCTGCCAATCCCTCCACTGGCTTCCGATTGCCCAACGCATAAAATTCAAAATATTAACATTGACGTACAAAGCTATTCATAACACTGCCCCAAACTACATCACCGACCTGATATCCATCTACCACCCACAACGTACTCTCCGCTCCTCACAAGACCTCCTACTCTCCAGTCCCCGGTCTCCCCAGTCTCCTCCTCCCATGCCAGTCTCCAGGACTTTTCCAGGGCTTCCCCCATCCTTTGAAACTCACTACCACAATCCATCAAACTGTCATCTACCCTCAAACACAAATGCTCCTGCACTTGGGGATGGACTGGATGCTACAACCACATTAAGAATGTCCTGGAACATGCGCACCTTGCTGCCCTCAAATTGACCGGGGGAATCCAAATATACTGAATGAGGAAAGAA